TTCCCTAATCCCTGACTATTCTGGTAAATAACAAGAACCCCAAAAAGAAAAAAAAACAGTAAAAAAAAAAGAAAGAAAAAGGTTAAAAAATAGAAAAGTAGTCATCTCCCCCCACCCCCACATGTAAAATTTAATTCAAACCAGAAAGACAAGGTTATTAAAACTGCACCACCAAAAAAGAAAAGAAAAAACTAACTTAAAAAGAGTATACTCTCTTAACTCTTGTTTTTGTAGGGGAGGTTTGTTTGTTTGTTGTTGTTGTTGATAATATCTTTTCAAGGTGGTGATCTTGGTCTTGTTATAAGCGCCTCTTAGCTGCTTCACCAAATGAGGTGGCGTTGTTGTTGTTGTTGTTGTTGGTGTTTTGATCCCCAGACCAATCAAAGAGATTGAATGGATCCAAGGCTGCAGCCTTGCTTCCCTTTTGCTGCTCATCTGCTGTGAAACATTGTGAAAACAAGAGATTTAGTGGATCAGCCTCAATTTCTCCTAAATCAGCAAAGAAGTCCTCATTGTGATGAGACTGGTTGGACTGATCATCAGGCATTGATGGTCTATACGGAAACCCTGCTTGATGATCACCGTTGAATTGATGATGATCAAGCTTCAATTGCTTCTCAATGTCCTCAAATTCTTCTTTCACTGTTGAAGCACTCCCAGCAGTGATAACTGGAGACACATGATTATTATCATTCATGGTCTCATTTTGTTCTTCCTTTGTAGGGCTTGCTGGCTTCTGATGAGGCTGATGAGAACTATTGGAAGAGGTCTTCGAACCGGCACCGTTTTTGGATGGCTGGGATCTCGTTGAGCCAGCTAGAGCATTTCTCTGAGTTGGCCAGGCATGGTTGTGTTCAGAAGTGTAAGTGATGACCAACATGTTTGGATCAGTCCGGCTACGCTCTACTTGTTTCCTTGCTGAGCAACCCTTTGAGCTGCTGCATCGATAGTAACCCCTGCAAGTAGTATCAATTATTGATTAATTAAGTTTGAAACCATGTTCAATAGCATTGATAATAGAGTATGATGACGATTATAATGATGATAAAATCCTTCATTATATCTTTGCTTTCATCATAAATCACTGGTAATAGTTAAATTAAAAGTATTTTACGATACATACGATGTAAAAGTGTTACGAATGCGTGCGTACGAGCATACTATTCTTTTCCACGCACGCATTTTCTAGACACACAAACTCCTCATATACGAGAGACACTCAAATTAAAATAAAGATATGTGTCTTCATATCCTCGCTAGTTGAGCTAGCTACACTCATAATGAATTAACTCACTCATCTGCATTGAATACTGCATTGAATGCGAAAAGATATATGAAGAAAGAAAAGGGAACACAACCCCTCATGGTTGTCAGTGAGATATGCCTTAGCCTTAGTTTTACTTAGGAACTTTCTATTATTTGACAAACGGAGACAAAGAAGTAAAACTTACTGACCTTGGATAAGGTGAACCTTTGATGGGTTTCTGACCGTACTTTCTCCATGCCCACAGATCAGATGGAACTACTTCTCCAGTTGGCCTGCTGTTTGCCGCCGCAGGCGCCGGAATGCACACAACCTTCTTTGCCTGGCTCTTCCTGCTCATATGATTAGATTAAGATAATTAATATGTTTATGTTTTAATTAAGCTAAGCGGTCTAGCTCTACACACACACACACACACATATACATGCATGGTTTGGACTTGACATTTAGATTAAGCTTTTTCTTTGAAATTAAACTGTTTTGGATTGCTTTCTTTAGGAAGCAGGAAGAGATGGATTGTATATTCCAAAGGAAGGCTAATATCAATCAGAACAAGAGAGGTCCCTTCAGGTGGGTTGGGGAAGAAAAGTAGTTTCCAGATATAAAAAAAGAAAGGAAAAGACGAAAGCTAAGTGTGTGATTGTTGTTTTGACACAAAGCAAAGAACCCCACCTTTCCATGCTTTGATTAAAACCCACAAAGATATCATGTTTAGGTAGCTATAGAGCTAGTAATGTTGACAATACTTAACAATCTCACCTGAAACAACAGTCATATAGAGAGCCTACTAGCTCTTCAAGACTTTAGAGCTTAGTCAAACCAAAAAATATACTTTAAATAACAAAACCCTATCTTCTAGATCTTCACTTCACCATGTTTCAATCAAAACACTAGTTGCAATAAAAGGAGAAGAAAAAACCCACTTCTCATTAAGGTGGTTAATCTATATGATGATGATGATGATGATGATGATAATGTAAGTACTAATGAGGATTAATTATTAAACATATAATTAAGTGGTAGAGTAATAATTAATTCATGGGAAACATGGTCAAGTTGTAAGAAAAATATTAAATGCTCTCTCTCTCACCTTCGCTTGATGCCCGGATTCCGTGGAGATGAGATCTGCACCCCGGCGTTCTCGAGCAAGCAACCTTTTCCTGATGAGCTGTTCCCATTAATAATCATGTCGCTTCCAACCATGGCACCAGATATCGAACCAGACACCGCCTTACTAATTCCCCGTGGAGACGACACTGCTGTTGCTGCACCCAGCAACGGCGAGTCACATGCCGTCACAGGGACCTTTGCACTCGGAGAGATCTGAAGCATCCGCGAGAATATGTTGCAAGGCCTCTTTATTGGATCCCCATCAACAACACCACCTTGTTGATGATGATGAAGATGGTGGTGATGAGGTGGAGGAGGAGGAGGAGCAAGAACTATATGTGCACCGCCAAAAGTGCTACTTGTACCGCCAGCTTCATCCACAGAAGTGATGTTAATATTCATATCTGATGAGGAATTGGGGCTGCTGAAAAAGCTGGAGCTGGACGATATGTCCAGTTCATGAAGAAGTGGATCGCGCATGTAGGATGAAAAGGGATCGCCAAAATTGTCCTTGGAATCTTCTTCTTCCTCCTCCTCCATGACTGAGGACGCTGAGGAAAATTTCATGGGAGGAGGATGGTCAGATGGGAAGTGCCAGCTGTCGGCGGCGGCTTCAGGTTCTTGATGATGATGATGAAGAAGATGATCAGAATGGTAAGCTCCTGCGGCGGAAGTAGCAGCACTGCTAGCTCTAAGAATATCAGTTAAATCACCTTGGTAATTCTCCATCCTAGTAATTGGCATGAACAAGCTGCACATGCTTTTATGGCACAAGCTGCAACATCAAGTGTATATCTTGTTGAGTTCTTTGGACCCCAAAGAGACGTCAAAGGCATGCAATTCTTGGGTTTTGGATTTGGGGTTTTTTTGGGTTGATTTAAGCAGAGTGATATGAATGGACTAATATATTTAGTACAAGTGTTTGTATTTTTGGGAAGATGGGGTTTGATTTTTAGGAAGCTTTTTAGGAAGCAGGAGAGCAAAAGAAATGGGTTTTGAAGGCTGATGTTGGATTGTTTTATATGTTCTTCTTCTCAAAAACAAAGGTGTGATGATGGAGAGAATGGCTTTGAAGAAAGAGAGAGAGAGAGAGAGAGAGAGAAAGGAGCAGCTGACTTTTGAGAGAGAGAGAGAGAGAGAGTGTTTTATATGAAATTGCCGAATTGCTAATAATAAACTAATTGTCATCGAGCTAACTGTAGTGCTTGTTTTTTTATTTTATTAATTTATTGTTTATATTTAAATAATGTAATATTTTATATTTTGTGTTTTTTTTTTCCTCTGTCAGTAAATTAAATAAAGACCTTTGCACAAAAGTCTTTTTACCTTTTTTTTTTGGCCCTCCTTTGTTTCAGAAACAAGTGATAGGGAAGTAAAGAGGCGGCAAGAAGCCGCATTTCTCGGAGGAACGTTTCGAAACTTCAACAGTGTTCTTCGTTTCTTTCAAATTTTTAGTTGCCTGCCTCCATTCCTTTATATTATCAAAACTCTTAGCATGAGGAGAGGAGGCAATATATACCTTTGGTGATGATCATATGGTGCTTTGGACCCGCCCATTGCCGCTGCCCACCCCTCAGAAATGAGTTTGCCGGGGAATTTTTCTCATAGAAACTTATGTTATCATAGCATGATTTTTGTTCAAACGTGTTGTCTAAATTTATCGCATGTCAACATAAATTTGATAAGACAACACTTACTCAATTAATATGTCGCACTATATTTGCGTGAGAGACGAACATACTGTGTCCATAATGTGTCCGCTTCACCAAAAATACAAATTACAACTTTATATTTTACTTATTACATCTATTATAATTAAGACTTATTTATATAAGTCTAATTTTTATTTAAGAATTATTTTATGCGTGAAGGGTAAAATAAAATGAAATCACTTGTATATTCAAACATATACATGAATTAAAAAGCCAAATTGTTAACCTATTACAGTGCATGCCACTTTTTACGGCTGTGTAAGTTACTAAGAAATGCAAAGCTAGCCATATAGTTCCATTGCTTTCATGGTTGATCTATAGGAAGGAAAGTACAAAAATAGTTTGGCTTTTCAATAATGTTTTGTACCTAGAAGTTACTGCACCTCCTTTGAGTAATATATATCTGTCATCTTATGCCAATTAATATTCTTAGAATCTCACTCACAAATAGAATTATTTATAAAATATAAAAATAATGTTTTTTTGTGAAAATATATAATGGAAATGAAACACTGGTAATATAAAATGCAGGACGTTGCTATTTGGATCATATTTACTGATTACATTGCTGATCACCTCTCTAATATAGGTGGATCTCACACCTCTATTAGAGCATCTCCAACCGATGTGTCAAAAGTGCCACATAGACATTTAACGGTTAGAAATAACATCTCACATCACTCCAACCGATGTGTCAAAGCTGATATGGAATGAAGGCTGGAGGTTGAGATGTTATTTTTGACATCCCAAAAGCAAGATGTCAAATGAATATTTTATTATTTTTAAAGATAGTTGGTTGTTACTTTCATTTATTATTTTCGTTTTTATATTTTTTTTTCTTCTTTCTTCTTTATCTTAAATGATTTGATCGGGTGGAGTGTAAAACTATGTAAATGTTAAATTGCCACATCAGCCATCAAATTTAAATTTGATATTTGATATTTGATATTTGACATCTCCCTTGGAGATGCTCTTAGAGAGAAAGGTGGTCAGCAATATTGTCAAAAAATATAGTACAAATAACATTATTGTAAAATGTAATCGAGTAAAATGTCCTTCTCACACTAGCTGCTTATAGTACATTTACATGAGTTTTAAAAGGGAAAAAGATAGCACCACAAAACAAAAAACTCTATTCGAAATAATATTCAAAGAAAAAAGACACTATTTAAACTGGAAAAAAAATAATTATTCGAGAGATTCATAGGAATCAATAAAACCTTCAAATTGGAATCTTGATCTGAAATATTCCCTTCTATGCTAAAGACATAGTAGACAAGCATATATAATATACTCCAAAGGGCTCACCGCAGTCAAACTAATCAAAGTTATTCTAGAGCCAGAAGAAAATATCACAATATTAATGCTGCTCAAGAAAATATGGCAGTAATTAAGGTAATCAACAAAATACAAAGGCTAAATATTCTTTATTAATATTGATATTAGAGAAAGAATATATGCCTTTTGTTTTATTTATTTATAATTGTCATAGTCATCATCATCTTCATTATTAAAATTATTAATTATATTTTATTCACTCAGAAAAATCCCTTTTCTTCCACCTCCATGCAATTCAAAAGGCGCACGTTTACACTAGATTTAGAAGAATTGGTATGAAGGAAAACATTTTCTAAAAGAGGGAAAAAAAAAGGGCACTAGGGTAAAAAAGAAGAAGAAGAATAGTAAGCATGGAGGTACCTTTCAGTCTTTCACAGTCAATTAGGAAGCATTAGGGTTTTATTCAAGAAAAAGAGAAGATTGTTTTCAAAATTCTTGTTCTTTGGTAACAAGGTTCAAATCAGTATCGCAAGATTAGTGCAAAGGAATTTGATGATTGAGTACTTTTTTTTCTTTTTCTTTTTTTGGGTTTAAGAAATAGTATTAAGGTTGAACTCTAAATTATTATTGTATTTAGTTGTAGAAAAACAACATGCATAAAATTATTGGAGATATTCACTTGTGTTGTGTGGTGACAACTTAATTACAAGAGAATGGCACAAAGAAAATATTTGACGTTGCCCTTTTAAATTATAGTTTCTTGAAGTAGTTGAGAAAGAGATTGCACGCGGTTTTTTCTTAATAAATTAAGCCACAAACTGTCTTCTTATTGTTTCTTTTCGAGGTGGATTTTTGGAGTAGAAAAAGAATAAAAGGAAATTGTGTACCTATTGAGATACAGACAAAGATGCTAGGATAGCCAAAATTATTGGGTGTATCCGATACATCACAGTTGTGACGATGAGGTACATCATATTTACTCTTTTGGATAATGACCCTACTCTACTCGTAGAATAATTTCGGTATTTAATGACCATATATATATTAGATACATAGTAATTTCTCCGGATTTCAGAGTTTTTCTTTGCATTTTTCAACTATTTCATAAGCCACCCTAATTTCCACACAAAGTTGTAGGGTGTTTGTTATGACAACTTATTTCCACATTAGTAACTTTATGCTGCTTTGAACAATCAGCAGACGGATCACTTTATAATATGATCTCCTAACTAATGAATTAAAAAATAGTGAGTATGATTACGGTTTTAAAAAGGTGATTATGATGAAAGTGAGGCACATAAACTAGGGGTCTGATATAACATGTCGGGATGATGAAGGACAAGGATTATTAGAGTTAGAATCGTAATTAAGCATGCTTAATATATATAAGGTTAATTTGATTCTAATTCTGTTGTTACAGGTCAGATAAAATGGCTTCTGTTTCGGTCCAAAAGTTGGGTTCCTTTTTGGAGTCTTGCATGACCACTTCAAGGCTCAAAAGATTAATATCAGGTTTTGATTAGACCTTTTTAGGGCCTTCACAAAAGAAAAAGTCTAGGGGGGTTTCTTTAATTTCAAGAAATAAATTCCCAAACGTCTCCCTCTCTATCACTATTAGTATTAAAATACAAAAATTATTGGTGTGTTGGGGATGATATTGCGGGGGAGAGAGAGGTGGCTTGTGATTAGAATTTCAAAGTATAATGGGGCAATGATCATAGAGGGAATCACCGACCTTATATATATGTTTGATTAGACATTTTGAGAATCTACCATGGGTAGCAGCCACTCTCTCTCTCTCTCTCTCTCTCTCTCGGGCACTTGAAGGTTTTTGGCTTTGGAATTCGTCAAAAGACCATTGTTACCATCCGCAGCCCCCTCACTATTTTCTTATTGCTTTCCATGTCTCTGTGTGGCACATGTTCTTACTGTACATACCACTCACTAACATAATAGGTGGAATTGAGAATCTGTATTTTAGTTCAACCTAACACACAGTGTCAGTTATTATGACATGATTTTATATAATTGACCGTTGTTGATTAAGGTGAATTTCACAGTGAGTCTCATGGCATATAATAATTCACTGTTCTCGCAAAATTTATACTCATATTGTACCACTCATGTATAACAAGTGGATATGAGAATTTGAAACGTAAAAGGGTAATTAATTTGCAGCCCGCCAACTAATAACTATTGATTTAGTGTTATTACTCTTTCAATTATTGGATATCCCAAATTGGAATTATGTTTTCCCTATTGATAGAAAGAGAAACATGATTAATTGATAATTGATAGTTGCTGATTAATGTGAACATAGTGATTCACGCGCCTAAATTCAATACGAACTCTTGATTCATAATCATTCATGCGTGTTTTGGAGAGTTATGTTTAATGAATTTTCTTCCGACTTATATAGCTCTCTACGTCAAAATGGAAGAAATGTGCTAATTAAGCACTCCTGGTCTAGTTAACACATGTAATTTTATATCAATTGTAAGCAAGCAGCTATCTAGCTAAGGACCCAATTCATATTTATGATCAAGTTGGTCATGATGGTATGGTTAAAACTTGTTTTAAAAACAAGATACCAACTGACTTCTCTGGACCAGTTCAAAAATATTGGGTCGTTTAAAGAAAAGGATCCTAAGATTTTAGTGGTCCAAATCCAAGTTATAATTTTAATTTTAATTTGCAAACTCATTATTGACTGGCTTTGAGACAAACACTTGCCCCACGTTCTTGCATGACAAGCTCTCCTCCCACACACTCCTCCCCACAAGAGAACAAAACTAAACTGGGATTCTCTGTGCAGAACTCTACAGATTTTTTGTCTTCCCATAAGAATCCCTAGGCCTTAGCATCCTGCCATCAGTGCCATGTGAAGCAGGCACACACAGTTAATTAAATATAATTAATACCCTAATTATAATATTAATTAACCATGCAGTCCCTGACTCATAGGGCTCTTCCAACCCTTGGTGGATGCTTACGAATGTGGCTCTGAATAAATTATGAAAAAAAATGAGGTGTCTTGAGAGTCCGGATTATTATGATAAGGCTGTTGATTTGCACGCATGACACAC